TGTCTTAACCCAATGGTGACGGGTGAAGAAAACTGGAAAAAAAAAAAAAAAAAAAAAAAAAAAAAAAAAAAAAAAAAATCTTTACTCTGGCGATCAATGGCAGTGTGCCGACTTTGAGCGCAGGAGTTCAGTGCATCAGGCCGAATCACTGGCTCGCTGCCGCAGCATACACCCGCACGCCAACATTTTGAGCTGTTTGTCTTCACGCCTATAGGCGTCACCCGTCGTGAAGGGGTTAAGAGGTTAACAGACAAATGCAGTTTTTATCTTGGACCAAGACTTACACAAGCATATATATTTTCTCCATACTGTTTACACCAAAACAAAATATGTCACTCTATTTCCATCTAATAACTAGAATAAGTAATATAGGTATGACCCTTAACTTAAACTATGTACATAAAAATATCAACAACTATTTGTCATTCTATTTTCATCTTCAGCTGCAATACCGTATTTGCTTGAATATTAGTCTTATCTCTGTAATTTATAATGAGCTTTTAAAGGGGAATACCTAACATATAAAATCATTTAATGCAAAATATCATAGATGTGATCTAAGTCTTGCCTAATGTATATAAATGGTATTGTGTTATTTTTTTATTAAACAGATTAACTCACAATTACAACTTGAAAAGCCAAAACATTCCTTTAGGCTAATTGACACTTTCCCCTGGTAGAGTTGATATTGGTAATAGAATAATAAAAAGTTGGACATCCACTGGATGATATGCAGCCTCAACCTATTGGTCCTGTTGGTTGTCTCACAATTTACTGGGAATAGTTGGGGTCTCAGTCACTCCTGTAACCAGAAAGCATCAAACCCCTGAACACTACATCGGTGCCTGGGCACTTAGCCCACTCAGCCACTGAACTCACCCCTAATAATGCTAAAGGTGAAAAATACTATTCCAGGTCACAGCAACATATTACAATTACCATAATAAACACAAATATAATACCTTAAAAAGATATATGTTATAGGCTGTGAATCTAACTCAACCATACATTGAAATATTGAGCATCACTAGAAGTTTAACCCATTGCTGCCGGGGAAAATGAACAAAAAATGGGGGAAATGCTGTACTCATTTTTTATATTTTTGTGAAATATCTCTGCCCATAGATGGCTCTGCTAGTCCTGATTTCACCTTTCCTTGAATTGGTGGGAAAAAACGTATTCTTACTAATGCTATAAATATAGATGGTGTTATTTTTAACAGCAAATTAGGATAACATTAAATATTTTCGTAAATAGATGAAAAGGGTGAACGGGCGAGACAGGCTGTACTCGTAATTGGCTCATTAGATACTTACTACAAGTGTAGCCATCTATGTGTAAAAACAATCAAACAAGTCGACTCACAGTGGGCATGGCATGTACGTACTTGCCATCCCCGGCAGCAATGGGTTAAGTAGTTACTACGCTCAAATAATGAATTAGTTATTTTCACATCATAAGCATAACATATTATTTTTGCAAAGACTGTTAATATTCAAATGAATACAGCACTCAGCAAGGAAATAACAAAAAGGCTGTCAAATACTGCTGTCTGATCATAGAATATTGCTCTGGGAGTGTCTTTCCTTGCATAGGTAGGAGTCTTGTGCAAGCAGCATTATCGAATACCCACTTCTTACCACCTCTCTCCACATATCCCTGGGTTCTACCCCCTCCAACCTCCTGATATAGGAAAACATAACAAAGGTTAACAATCATTTTACATAGCTATTGATATCTGTAATCAGAATCATATGATATATTCAATTTAAATTCTTTTCTCTTTTTATACATACTGCTTAATATTGTTGAGTAATTTAGTTAATTAACACTGAACACTGTCTTCATTCCATCCACCATTCATCTGCTACAATAAAAGATACCAGGACTAAGCCTACTATAATAACCAATATTTTGATATGCTTTGCACTACTGAAAAGCACCAAATTTGATACAGAACAATAACACAGGGCCAATGAAGTTTCAGCAAGACTAGCTTAGTTGCCAAAATTAAAACTGAATACAAGAAATACAAAATAAGTCAAATGAGTAAGAGTTAAAATACAACATAGCCTCACACAGTCTGTACATGTTTCACACATGTACTTACATTTCCAACCAAACACGACATGAGAGTAACTTGAGTAGAGTTACACCAGTGCAATCATAAGAATATCCGGTAAGACACACTAAACTTTTCAAGACCATTAACCCCATCCATCTCCCACACAGATATAGGTTGCATGGCATTCTGCAGCACTGAACTGGTTAAACAACCTTCCTAATCAAAACCACAGGCTTCATTCTCAATCAAAAAAAAAAAAAAAAAAAAAAAAAAAAAAAAAAAAGAAAGAAAGAAAGAAAGAAAGACACAGCCCTTCAGCACAGTTTGTCCAGAGTAAGTATACCAAGTCAGTGCTCATGTGGAACTTTCTTTGATGTTACTCATGTACTGAAATGCAAGAAGGCAAATTGTCAATACATGCCATGATGAAGTGCTAGATGTAACATTTAACCCATTCGCCTTTGATAAACGTTTATTTATAGTATTTAGATGGCTCCACAAGTTCTTAATCACCAAATATCCAGTTATCAAGAACTACCTATTTCACTTGTTTACCCTTTTCCTTTACTTTAGGAAAGTTGTTTTTGTATTATTTCATTGTCTAAAATATTCTAATGACAATTTAATAATCATAACATCAATAACAACAATAACAGTATCGATAGCAATGGTATTAATTTTCCCGCCAATTCAATGAATGGGAAAATCAGGGTCGGTAACTAGGCCTACTGATAGACTCCTTGCCGGCTGAGCACTTGTGGAGCCATCTGTATGTAACAAAATTCACCAAAAACTGCAGGGGACAGAACATAAATCCGGGGCAAATGGGTTAACCCAATGCTGATGAGTTAAGAAAATAAAAAAATATAAAATCTGCACTCTGGAAATCGATGGCAACAAGTAGACTTTGTATGTGGGAGTCTGCTACATCAAGCCGAGCATCCCACACCAAGCACTCTGGCACACTGCCGCAGCATACAGCCATATACCGAAGACTGAGTAGTTTGTTATGACGCCGCTAGGCGTGACCCGTCAGTATGTGGTTAATATTTCACAAAAGATTGGTCTTAGAGCAGTCCTATAGCCACTGGACACAAGACTGGCCAATCAAACAACTAGCCCATCAAATGATACAAGAGTTGACCTTAGTGCCTGAGGATCTGAACAAGGGGTGAGAACCTTCACTGGCATCCAAATCCTTGAAACTGTGGTTCTGATTTATCAGAGCTTAACATAACCATTACCACATCAGTGAAAAAACTGGCAGTACTCAGGACGAACTCAAAACAGAAATCTCAGAAATTTCATACCATTAGTCTTTCCAACTTCAGAAAGATTGAGCAGAGGAGCGACACAGCAAGTTGGATGAGGTGTTGCCTGTTGCTCTTACATCTGCTTTGATGTATAGTGAAAGTAGTATACATTGTCTGTCAAAGGTCCTATAAAGGATAATAGTACCAGAGTGTGTGCATTTTC